CTGCCTTAACTAACGTCTTAAAAAAATAACAAAAAAAATAAATAAAATAAAATAATAATATGTATATATATAATATGCAGGGCCTGAACTTCAGCACAGAATTTATAATTGTGTGTGTGTATTTGTGAATAAAACGACCACAGTCCAGTTTGAAATAATTGCTGCACCGCTGCCATGAGGTGTATTTTGAAAAAAGAGGAAAAAAAAGAAAAAAAAAACGATGTAGGTACTCGATGCGGACAAATGTGTGGCCTCCGTGTACATGCACTCGATTTCACTCAAGTCTTCATATTGACCTGTTTTAAATGCGACACCGAGCTGACATGATATGTAAATTTTTTAAAATTAAATATCAGTGTGCATCCTTGAGTTAGTAGAAATTAGTTGAAAAGCATATAGATAACCTTTTTTTTATTATTTTTTACAGAACATAGGACCTTCTGACTGCTAATTTGAACTCCACAACTGACACAAGGTAAGATCAAATTAGTAACGATTAGGTTTAACTTGTCACATAATTTCTTTATGTGTGGCAGTTTGGTTTAATTTTGAGATGGTTAATTTGTCTGTTTAAGGTGCCGCAACGTGAGATGGATGTGTAAGATATGTAGCTTTGAGTCAGAGAAGAGGTTGGGATTGTTAAAACACTACAGACTAAAGCATGGAAATGGTGGTCGCAGCCAGTCAGTCCCTTGTCTTCACACTGATTGCCCTTGCTCGTTTAAAACATTTAATGCCCTTAAGACCCATTTGTCTCGACACCATGTGGAGATGGTCACACAAAGTGGACCTCTTTCATTTACTTGTCTACTTTGCTGCTCTGGTTTTTTTGATTCAGAGAAGCAGTATTTTGAGCATCTTAACAACCACTTAAGGAAGTTTGAAGCAGTTGCATGTGTCTTCAAAAACTGCAACTTCAGTACAAATATTTATTCCACCTTTGCTACACATAGACACAGAAAACACCAGTCACACACCCTTGAGGATTTTAAAACTGAAGTATTAAAAAGCCAACCTAATGAACCCATGTTTGCTCAGGATGAGACCTGTGTGGAAGAGAGCTTAGAGCTTTGGGATGGGGTACCACAGGAGTTGTCTCAAGATATAAAAGAGAAATTTGGCCATCTATTTTTAAAGTTGGAAAGCATGTTCAATGTCCCAAACAAATGCATTGATGAAATAGTAGATGAGCTTCAGTTTATATCCACCTCTGCATCTGGTCCACTTTTAAGAGATGTGGTGGTGTCCACCTTGAAAAGCCATAATTGTGATCTGGATCCAGCCATTATCTCAGATTTAGTGAAAAATATTTGTGAGACACACCCTATAAGTACTGCCTTGGGGACAGGTGGCCCCAAGGCAGTACTTATACACAACTTCATACACAACTTATACACAACTTCATACAAGAGAAGAGAATTTATGAAGAAGCATTTTTCAGTTGTTGAACCAGAAGAACACATACTTGATAAAAAAAGGGCAAAACCTTCCAGCATGTCCCAATATTGCCCTCCTTGGTGCAGGTCCTAAGTAAGTCTTTTCAAGAAAACACATTTGAAGGTGAAAAAAAAACTGAAAATGACTTTAAGTACCAGACATTTCGTGATGGATCTCACTATCAAAACAACTAGTTTTTCTCTGTAGAGGAGAACAGAGTGAGTCTCATCCTGTACATTGATGACTTTGAGGTATGTAATCCTCTTGGGACATCTCGAAAAAAGCACAAAGTCACAGCTGTCTATTGGGTGTTGGGAAACATTCCGGTGCAGTTACGTTCCACATTGACATCAATCTACCTTGCAATTCTGTGTAAGGCTGAAGACACCAAGCAGTTTGGATTCCAGCGAGTTTTAGAGCCACTGTTAACAGATATCCAAACCTTGGAGAAAGATGGTCTTTTTGTTCCAGCATTAGGGAAAGCCATTAAAGGGACTGTGGTCAGTGTGGTGGCAGATAATTTGGGGGCGCACTCTGTGGCAGGATTTGTCGAAAGCTTTGCAGGGTCATACGTCTGCCGGTTTTGTGTTGGGGAGCGATCCAAGTTTCAGTCCAATGAAGTGAGATCTGGGTCTTTTCATCAAAGAACCAAAGATCAACATACACTGCATGT